ACACCCTAAATCCATTGTTTGGTGTAGGTTCTTAAGTTCGGCGGAAAACCCAGATTCTTAAAGCCGGCGGCGGAATTGATATCAACAGGGGAGAGCGGGGCTGAATTATAAACCCGGGATAGGTTTTTAATTACGTTTCCTTATACTTGCCCGAGAGAACACAAGGTATGAAAACAATACTATTTTTATTTCTATCGGAACAATAGAGTGCAAACGCGGATATATTGTACTCTATTTCCAAAAGAACAAAGCATCAGTAATCTATCTCTCTGAATTCATTATAATTTAGTATTTCGTGTTTTGCATCGAAACAATGGAATTTAGGGCTTAGTTGATATTTTAAACCAGTTCAAACGCACGGGCTCGGTTTTGCATTAGAATTCAAGACCTCAGGCCTGCAGCCCTCTGTCTTGAATTCTAATGCAAAACCTCGTCCTAGCGTTTGAACCTTTATATAAAAACCATGTATCATTGTAATTATTAACAATTATGATTGACCGTAATGGCCAATCACTTCAAATTATATGGTATATTGTTGTTATTCAAGGGAACTACAATCATTATGCATGTGTGCTCAACATTGAATGGTTATATATAGCTGCTCAGGATAATATAGCACTATCTTGCTTTGATTTCAAGATCTGAATCACTTTTCTTTGCCTTTATTAAAATACACAAATTATATTGGAAGATGTCAACAACTGCAATAAAATATATTCATTGTTGTTTTGAAAATGAATATGCTGTCATATATCATTGCTAAACATTACATACTGGCTGTTACGGTCAAGTTTGTTGTATTACGTAGTCACTTCCCTCAGTACATTAACAATTTGCTACTTAAAATGATTCATAATTTAGAAAAGATGAAACGGTGGATACAATAAACTGTGGATACAATACAACAAATTTGCCTGTGAATATTCAGTTTAGCTATTTAAATTTTCATTATCAGTCAGAAAAGGTAAGGCATGATTGAGGAAAAACTCTGTAAGCTTAGGTAACAAAACATCAGTCCTGTAAAACTGGTTGAAAACAATTCTGTCAACGCACATTTCATTAGACTCAGACAGAAAGACAAAAGTCACACCACTGAAGGCCAGTTATTGATAACTGACCTTGTACTTGAGTATAATACCCTAGAGCATGATCTAGTTTCAGTTGTAGCTATTGCCAACTTTGAATAGATAGAAGTTGGGGTCTTGGGCAGCTTGGTCGAGCGTCTCATTTCTTTTGGTAAATGGACGTTTGATTTCATTAGGCCATACTTACTTCCTGTTGCTGTTGGGTCGTATACTTTGGCATCAGGGCTGGCTCCAAGAAATGGGACAGCAGGGCTTACAGACAGTCCAGTATCAAACACAGCAAAAGTGGCAGCATTTTTCTGCATTTTTCTTGCAAAAATAGATTTGGCAATCTTTTCTTTTTTCTTACCATGAGCAATAGCTCTATCTCTGGACAAGTCAGACCCCTCAAACAGAGATTTGAGCATTGCTTTTGTGGGCTTCCTCATCCTGTTTATAACTTTACTAAAGTTAGAAGCTGTTAGTCTGACTTTGTGCTGATCCAGCCACTCAGAACATTCTCCTTTGAAGGAGAATGATAGTTAATGATAAGTGGGAGTCAAAAACGTCTTTAGCAGAATTATAATCAACGTCCAATGATGTAAGGTTTTGTTCATCATAAACAGTTTCGGGGTCAACAGGGATTTCAATAAAATCGGTGCATGGATTTGTAAGGTCAGCATCAACAGTTATTCTCAAAGCATTGCTCACAAACACAGTTTTTGGTCGTCCAAAGTCCTGTGGCTGGTAGGATAAAGGGGAACCAACAGGCACATTTCCGAGTGCAGTATTTACAATAAAAGAAGGTTCTTGGTCGCTCAAGAGAGATGAGAATGGAGGAGGCTTTTCCTTATTGCTCATTATAGCGACATGTATCAGCACATGTTCACCGGACAGTCAAGATTTGAATGTAGGCCCTCGAGCGTCATACAGTTTGCATGCAACAGCATCTTCTTTCCTTGTGATCTGTCGCTGCTTTGGCGAAGTGGGTCCCCATGACAGGCATTGGAACAATTGAAGTTGCTCTGGGAATATGCCAGCTTTGTGGACGACCTGTGCATGTTGCATCGCTTGGAATATCTTTCATTCCAAGACACGTTTAATCGTTTAGTTGAAAACAACAATGCAAACACGTGGTTGCAATGTCCACCGCTTCCTCCAACGCAAGATCAGTGTCCCTTTTCAACTACAGCTTGATTGTCATCTTTAAAGTGAACGTAAATGTAATGTGGTTCTTCGTTTTTCTTTAGGGAACGATAACAGCGTGATTTCGCTACTTTTGGAGAGTAGGACGTCACGTAAAAATCAAACACGTAGCCCTCACGAAAGAACTTGTAGCTTTTTTCTCCAGCGTGTTTTTTGCCACCTTTCTCCAGCCATTTTGCTACTGTGTCGACGGTGACTTTAGGGAAGTCTCTTAAGCTCTTTGACCAGTCTTTCTCGCTTTTCGAAGTGAAACAAGAGCAACAATTAACGTGATTACAAGAGTCTTTAGACGCCATTTTGCCAAGTTTTGTGTAGGCGCCTCGTTTTCATGTTGGTGTAAACACCCAAGTCAAGTCATGTGATGCATTAGCCGATTAGGTCTATTGTAACAACCAGTACGGCTGAACTACACAATTAGCTAGCTTAACTATGTACAAAATTTAGGTCAGGAGTAATTATATATGTATATATATATGTAGGAAAAAAATACATACGAAAATTAAAATCTTATAATCTAAACTGAAAAAACTATATAGACACACAAAAATGGCTAATAGAGAAATAGAGAAAAAATCAAGAAAGGCACAAAAAGAGCTAGATGGAAGTTGAAAACTATCAAAAATTTATAAATATTGATGAGATATTTGTCTATTGTCTAATGTAAGATTCTAAAATATTTGAAAATAATATTTTTTAAAAAGAGGATTTTGTTTTTGCTTTCTTTAAATCTTCAGCAAGAGAGTTCCAAACTGTTGCACCAGAGAATCTTACATCAAATTTCCCATAACTAGTTCTTGCCTGTGGAATTGAGTAATTTAACTTGGATGCAAATCTATTATTATAGTTACGTCTTTGACTTACGCTCGAGAAGAAGTTGTTGAAAACATTAGGAAGATAACCATGATGATATTCGTACATAAAAATAGCGGTTTGGTACAGAACAAGATCATGAAATTTTGAAATCTTAAGGCTGCTAAAAAGAGGATTGGAATGATCACTGAAATCAGCAAAAGTCATGATACGCATGGCTTTCTTTTGTAGGATATAGGGAAGATTGACATTTGTGACATAAGTGTTCCCCCAAGCTACTATACCATAGATAAGATATGGATAAATAAGTGAATAGTAGAGACTTATGAGGATACTTTTTGTGACAGTATGACGCAACTTTGCCAATACCACGTTTGGTTTTGCTTTGAATATAAGTAACATGTGATTTCCAATTTAGGTGATTGTCCATCATCACACCCAGATATTTAATACTATTTTCTTTCTTTAGATTGAAGTTCTCTAAAGAAAGTTTAACTTGTAAGGAGACTTTTTTTTCGACTGGATGAAAAACGACAAAATTAGATTTCTCAATATTTAAAGACAGCTTATTAACCCATAGCCAATTATATACAGATTTAAGTTCAATATTAACATTAGTTTCCAGATCACCAAGGTTTTTGTTAGAGTAGAATAAATTAGAGTCATCAGCAAAGAGATGAAAATCCAATATTATGAATTCTGAAAGTCATTGATATATAGCAAAAATAGGAGTGGGCGAAGGACTGAACCTGAGGGACGCACATGAGAACTTGCTTAGTGTCAGAATTAACATTACCTATGGGAACAAATTGTTGTCTATTATTAAAAAAAAGATTTAAACCAGTTATGAGCAATACCTCTAATGCCATAATGATGTAGTTTTTGAAGGAGAATACTGTGGTCAACAGTGTCAAGGGCCTTGCTCAAGTCAAGAAATACTCCACAGGAGAATTTTCCATCCTCAATTGCTTCATGGACTTTATTGAGAGAGTTGAGTAATTTTGATAAAGTTTTTGATATTTTCCCCATTAAGAGCGACTTTCTGTAAAAATCCACCAAACGGCGGCACAAGTCAAGAAATCGATTTCGCTCATATTTTRTCCATAGGTAGCCTATAGTGTGAAATGAAACGTGCTGTAGTTAGTTTTTTAAAATATTGCTTTGTTTGGCGAGAATTTGAGAAAAACGATTTTGACCGGAAACGGCACTGAAATCGCCTTTTGCAAATAGTCTGGTAGCAGAGGGGGATTTCGTTCAACCCACGGACTAGAAAAGGTTTGAATTCGGATTCCGGAAGAACTTCACCCCCTGAACAACACCTGGTAGTTAGTGGAGTCGAATTGTGGTATAGGTTTTGAGTTAAGGGGAGGTTTTTATTTTAGACCAAAAACCACAGGGTACCCAATAATGATTTTTTTGAAAAAAAGCTTTTTCATTTAAAATTGCTACAGAAAAGCATCAAACATTACACAATCCATAGCCAATACCTCCTTGAGAATAGTATGTCAGTATAACCCTGTTAGGAATATAACATATCTTCTGCGCATTACACAAAATCTTAAATCTTGAATTGACATTTGTGAACTGCTCTTTTTGACTGTAAAAATCTCCAGTTTTATGAAAGGTGTTGGTCATCAAAAAATATTTTTAAGATGAACGATAACAATGCATTACATTGATTTTTTTAGTCACGTGAAAATATTCAACACTAATACTAGAGGTTCAGAATGTTTTGTCTCTTACTTTATGGCCTAAAGACGACATGATAACTGGCTCGTTACAGCACTTTAGTTAGTTACTTAACTAGAAATAATGAATCAACCATATATGGTTATCCATTTGTATGATATTAATTTGTTTTCTGTATCGAGTATGCAGGTATACTTATGTTAGGTGAACCTTATGACAGAGTGAAGTTGTTCACTCTTCCTCATCGCTGTCATCTTCCAAGTCGTCGTCAGATCCCTCATCTGAGTCACTGTAATATTGCTCAGCTGTAGAATGTGGGTTATTGCATGTTTCGTCACGCATGCAAAAGCACGCCTCCGTACAGGAGAGTCCTGAATTGTAGCAGGAGCAATTACCTTGACACTGAGACTTCTTACAGTTACATGTAGTTAGCTCAACAAGACTGCGTGGAGCAGGATCCTTCGTCATATAGACTGGTTTGAGAGTACCATCTTCTATCTCCCATCCATGGCCTTCTSGACTCTGTAGATCCTGCATCGCTATGAGGGAGCTTCTCCAGATAAATGTTTGGTAGCTTGCGCGCTTCATGTGCTGTCTCAAGCTGTCTGATGTTGGCGGAAGAGCCTCATTTCTGCGTTTACGCTGTTGGCAAAACATTAGGTACCGTAGCTCGTYCATGGTACTTGTGCTTCTTTTCGTATTGGGATATAGATCACGTATGAAAGCTTCCGTCTTTTCAGCAAGCGTATCATCCAAATCTGGCTGCTGACCAAACAGGCTGAGAGTTATCTGGTGAGTGGCACTGAACTTGAGGGCAATCCACAGTTTCTTCTTCCCACGATGGGATATGCTGCTCGTCGAATTGCAGCCAGTGAGGGCGTGGAATGCTGGCAGACACTGACACAACCTTTCTCCTAGGCTTTGCTGGATAGTATGCACTGGAATGTATCTCTGACGGTCGCTTAAGCCAGTACGAAACCACAACTTTCTGCATTCAATTTCAGAGAAATGGGATACACATAGGACAAGAACGTCGGTATCTGGAGACTGGATGATGATTACAGAGGTAGGAGACTCTCTCACAGCATATGCAGCATGAAGGATCATTCGTGTATCTGCTTCCTCGTGATTGGACTTAAGGGCGTCAATGTCTTCAGTTGGTCTTGCGCGTGTGATCCTCACAGCTCTCTCTCCATCAGCCAGACCTCCTCCGATGATAAGGTGTTTTCCTTGCTTCAGCTTTTCTTGCCCAATCTTGCACAATAAAGAGGTCAGAAAGTCACACAAGTTGATCTTATTCTTTGGGTTTTGGATGTACTTTGCCCACTGTTTGGGCACTGGTGTATTAGGACCAGTTATTCTGACTTCAAGAGCATCTGAGGACCCTCTTCTGGTACGCTCTCCAGCTTTGATAGAAGTCGTCCAGTATTGATCAAACAMGAGGTGAACTGCTGTGCAATTGTTATTTGAAAGCTGCGCTACAACAATGGTGAAGTATTTCAAGGCAAGTTCAGCGAATGTACTTGCTCCACAAGATTTGTGCATCTGGATAAGTGCCATACCATCARTGATATGAACGATGTCACCTTCTGATACTGGAAGTGTTGTTTGAGCATTGAYTCCATCTTCCAGAACTGATGTCAGGTCACTTTTTGTAGATTTTCTTATGCTACCATCGTTGTGTACTAGTGAACAGGGCACTGGAGATAACTCATACGACAGAACTTCTCTAAGATTGATCTGTCTGACATTTGCCACGATAAGCAATCTTCCAAATAAATCTCTGTCAGCTTTCACGGTTATCAAACGCTCGTCTGCTGCTCTGAGTTGTACTTTCCTTGAAGTTGTCTCAAACGTCTTTATTTTGAGCTTAGTGATGGGATCCCAAAAACTTATGGTGTTTGTGTTGATTCGCTTCTCTATGAAAGTGGACATGTGCTCTTTGCCTTTCTTGGTACAGCTAACAAATGCGTCTCCCAAGTCTCCAGGTAARACTACACCAGTGGCAAAGTTCATAATATCTGTCGCGGTATCTTGAGAAAATGGATCTGTCATTAAACCTGTCGAGAAGCAAGATAGTAGCTTCTGAACATCCTCCTCATCTCGTTTAACTCTCTTCGTTGATGCCTCTTTGTGAACTTCCTGTTCGTTTGATTGTAGGCCGTACATTTGCTTCAGTGCTGAAGTAATAGATGCGCGCTCATGGGCAGTCAGGAACCATCGATTTAGGGCTGCAGGGTTCTGAGATATACTGATGATGCCTCCTTTTGCTTTGGAGTCGGCATTTATAGATTGCGCTAGCGCCATATCTGTCCACACCTGCGCAAATGGGTTAGTGGAACGACTAACTGCATGACCACCGGACTGAAATTCCTCATGAACTCTTGGATGTACTTTGGCCAGGCCATTCATATCTGAGAGATAAACAGGCAGCCATCTGGCGTAGTTTTGGCGATCCATAGTGAAGAAGTGAGGTAACATAGCAGCTACTGTGGTAAGATGAAGATCCCAGTCAGCTGTTCGTTCTGCCTTGATAAACTGAAGTAGAATGTTGACCATGGACATGTATTCCTCCCAGAATGCAAACATCTTCGATTCAGTGCTCCTTGTCTTCTTGTATTCTTTAAACAGCTCGGTAACCTCGGTTAAGTCTGTTTCTAGCTTATGGATGCTCTTGCTCACCTTTTCTTTCTTCTCCACTACCGTGATTGACTCTTGTATCTTCTGAAAAAGATGGTTTCTTTGACGGCCAATCACTTCATTGTCGTTAGTTTGGCACCATTCAAGGAAAGCTCGCCACATTAAGCGGAAGAATGCTTCCATAGTAAGCTTGTGGGCTCTTACTCCACGATTATAGKCTTTTCCCTTCATTAATGCCGATGCTGCGCCAGCTCCAAAAACGCCAGAYTCAACAAGGAGATCATCTAACCCCGAGCTGGCATATTTCTTGCCCATTAGCGACAGAAAGTTTAAGGCTATATGAAAACCACCGACACGAATTACGACATCTGAGAATTCATCTGAGAACCTCCATTGTAGCTGCTTGGCTTTTATGTAGATCGCCAAGTCGAAAGTTATAACAGTATCTGCCTGTCCAACGCTAGCGCTAATTGCCTGAGCATGCTTTAGGACAG